TTTAAAATAATGATTTGGGATTGTATGGATAATGTTGTTTACTGCTGAGTATCATCTGCTTCTGTTATTCTCCAAAAGAAGCTAGAATAACATTTTTCTTAAAATGTATTAAGAGAATTGAACAGTGTGATAAATTCTTCTTGCTTCTTCTGAGGTCTATGATTAGCATACTTCGTTAGGGGGTTGGACTATCTACATCGTAGCAGAATTAAGTGTTAAGGCTCCCAATGGAAGAAATAAAATTCACCAACTTGTCAGTGAAGTTGTAACTTAATTGCTGATGTCCCGGGAAATTAAGTTAATAGAAAGGAGAGGTTACTTTTCTACCAAATCTTGTTCACCTTTTTTTATGTCACTGCAGGAGAGACATGTACTGAGTTAGTCCATAACTTTATAAATACAGAAAAAAACCCCATCCCTGTAATACTTCTCACAGAAACAACATTGCATTAAATCCCAGTGTTATCTTTTCCTCCTTAAAAATTATACTGGATTAGTAGGAGAACTCAGACAGTATTTGCATTAGTTATGGAACTTGATTCAAGTTCATCAGATGGACAGATCTTACATGTGATATAAACTAGGAGTTTTAGTTCTTGGATATGAATCCACAAGGTATTAAAACAGATGATCCAGAGCCCTTTTCAATTTTGACAATAATAGGAGGAAAAGTTAACTTGTTTTAGAGGACAGGCAAGATTCAACCTTATGTCTGACTACTTTAGGAGGTGCAACTCTCATGCCCAAAGCTGAATTACAATAATTTTTCATTTTTCCAAAAAGAAAAAAGCAATGAATTATTAGTGATGCTAGCTGCTTTTGTTCCTTCTAAAGGTCTTCTAGAAATAGCTATGCTTGTAAAGAAATCAGAGAATAGTTTTTAAATGCTTAGGTCCTATAAAAAACAACAGCATGAGAGGCAGATGTTTAGTTTCTGGAAAATCTGTCCAGATGTTCAGTGTATTCTTTGCAGCTGGAACATTCTGCTTCTAGAAGGGTATTGACAATACCTGAAGCATTTTTAATACCAGTAGTTCTTGTTGTTGCAAGTTGCCCTCTATGTAGAGGAAAAAAGACGTGTCTCAAACTTGAAGAAAAGTACTATTGGAAATGAGAAAATACTAAAGGAACAAATTCTCATCTGAAAACTTCAGCTGCAGAGAACAGGGAAGAGAGTAATGTGTAGTTAGTAGCCATATGCTTACATATATGCTGTTTCAGCTTGTTTCAACTAAGCAATAAGTGGTAAGCAGATCTGAAAGAAGGATATTATATGGTTGCCTCCCCATAGAAGGGAAATGGTATCTATCTTCCTCCCTTATTCAAAAATCATTGTGTATTTGGAATAGGAATGGATTTCCTTTCTAGCTGTCTATAACTGACAGTCTAATTTACTAGCTTTAAATATAAAATTGGAAAACTTGTTTGTGTTTTCTATGAATACTGGTGATTCTATTCATTCCGTATACCTTGAAATTCTCAATTGTTTAATGTATATAAAAGCTTATGTGTCATCTTTGTTACTAATGTTTTTACTTGCTTTCAGCTGTACTAGATAAAGTTCTTGGTGATTATAAAATGTGTTTCACCTTTTAGATTCATAAGGTAAAATGCCCATCTGGATTACTGGTATAGTTCTTTCGCTGTAAACAGTTGTGTATGCATGGAGGATACATCTGCTCTAGCACCTGGAAGACCTCCTCCCCGTCCTTCTTCACTGACTTTGGTCTCTGCAGGGCTGTTTCTCATATTCTCACTCCTCTCTTTCAGCTTCTGCTGAGCAGCAATTTTTCCCCTTCTGTCAGACATATGAACAGCTTCTGGTATCTTCTCACAAAAACCACCCCTGCAGTACCCCCCTTCCCCAAACCCAATACAATAGTTTACTGTTTATTCTCTGTGTTTTCACTAGTGACCCGCTGATTGAAGTCTTTGATACTCGTAAATGCAGTGCTGTTCATAGTCATCCCTTGGAATTTGATGCCATATGCTACTTATGGAAGCTGCCACTCTTTAAGGACAAAATCCCACATTCATGTTGGGTATGGAATTTCCGCTGTATTCTTAAGGTAAAGAAAATATTAAGCCAGTCAGATGGAGATTAGGTGTCATGGCCATAATTTGTAGGCTACTAGAATATCTGGAATAATCCTTTGATTACAGTAGGATTTATAAGTGCATGAAAAAGTTCCTTCATTGCATAATTCCAAGAAGTAGAGGTTCAGTTCTAGATATGAAAAAAGTAGTTCTTGATACATGGGAAAAAATTACCCCCTTCAGTGCTTAATTTCCAAACAGCTGAACTTTGGTAGTCAATTTCAGTGATACGGCACTAGTGTTCTCGAGATGTTAAACCTTTGGAAAATCTCACATTTTATGGTTGTTTTCATATGTGGATTTTATTTATTTTAAGATAACATGTATACTTCTGTGAATGTTTGAGACAAAGATTACCCTTCATTGTAGGGTGCATAGAGTTAACTTCAAAATTGATCTCTCTCCCAGTAATACGAAGCTTTTGAAGATGCAAGTCCTAGTGAAATATCTCCAAAGTCTGGGTCCTTGAACTGGATATAGTGTGATATTCTTATAATTTAGACCATTTGTCCAGGATCGCAGTGTCAAATGTAATAACTCTGTATTTGGGGTTTTTTCTTTAGAATCATAGAATCATTAAGGTTGGAAAAGACCTTTGCAATGCTTGACAACCCTTTCAGTGAAAAGATTTTTTTCTCATATCTAATCTAAACTTCCCCTGGTGCAACTTGAGGCTATTTCCTCTTGTCTTGTCACTTGTTACCTGGGAGAAGAGACCAACACCCACCTCATACCACTACCTTTCAGGTAGTTGTAGAGAGCAATAAGGTTTCCCCTGAGCTTCCTTTTCTCCAGGCTAAACAACAGAATCACAGAATATGCTGACTTGGAAGGGAACCACAAGGCTCATCAAGACCAATACCTGGCCCTGTACAGGACCATCCTCAAGAGTCAAACCATGTGCCCGAGAGTATTGTCCAAAAGCTTCTTGAAATCTGGCTGGCTTGGTACTGTGACCACTTCCCTGGGAAGCCTTTTCCAGTGTTCAACCACCCTCTGGGTGAAGAACCTTTTTCTAATATCTGACCTAAACCCCCCCTGACACAACTTGAGGCCATTCCCCTGCATCTTGTCACTGGTCACCAGAGAGAAGAGATCAGTGTCTGCTCCTCCTCTTCCCCTCATGAGGAAGTTGTAGACTGCAATAAGGTCTCCCCTCAGTCTCCTCCAGGCTGAACAGACCAAGTGATCTCATCTGCTCCTCTTATGGCCTCCCCTCAAGACCAAGATGTGCTCCAGACACTTCACCAGCTTTGTTGCCCTTCTCTGGACATGCTTCAGCACCTCAATGACCTTTTTGAAGTGAGGGGCCCAGAAATGAACACAATAGTTGGGGTGTGGCCCCACCAGTGCCAACTACAAGGGGAAAATCACTTCCATAGTCCTGCTGGCCTCTCTATTTTCTATACAAGTCAGGATGTCATTGGCCTTCATGGCCACCTTGGCACACTGCTGGCTCATGTTCAGCCAGCTGTCAACCAACACTTCCACATCCTTTTCTGCTGGGCGTCTTTCCAGACACCCTTCCCCAAGCTTGTAGCACTGCATGGGGTTGCCATGACCCAAGTTCAGGACTCAGCACTTCAACTTATTGAACTCCATATGGTCAGCCTCAGCTCATCAATCTAGCCAATTGTTATGAACAAGAGTGTTTGTGATTGCTTAAAAAATCACTGTCAAGTGAATGAGCAAAAGCCAGATCCCTCTCCAGCAAATCAACACTCTTGCCCAACATTGTGTCATCTATGAACTTGCTTAGGGTGCACTTGATCCCCTCACCCACATCCTCAGTGAACATGTTAAACAGAACTCAATCAGCCATTTGCAAAAGCAGCAGAGTGCTTTGCTGAGAGCAGGTTTGTAGCCCCCAACCGAAGGCGAGGAGGAGAGTCTTTAGGTATGTGGTGGCAAAGCCTCTGCTCTGCAAAAAACAGCCCAGGTGCAGAGGGGGTGCACATTTGCCACTGGAGGATGACCACTACAAACTGGCCTTTGTTTAGATAAACTTGTTGAGTCCTGCAATTGTGTACTGGATAACCTGTAACTAATGTTGTTAACAAGCTGGGTTAAGCCAGATAAGGGAAAAGGCCTATAAGAAGCAGATGGTGTGTGGTGGGATAATGCTTTTTATCATGTCAATGTCCTCCCTCTTGATAAGGCTCAGGTGGAAAACTCATATATATACACCAGTCATTCAGTGTCCCTCTAATCCGCCCCAAGGGATCTATTAACAAGAACAAGGTCATAACACATTATCAAGCTCCAAAGAATCAAAACACTCCCTAACATACAGGGCTACCCCACTGCCTCTCCTTCCTTGCCTATCCCTTCTGAAGAGTTTATACCTATCCATTGCATCAGTCCAGTCATGCAAATCATCCCACCATGTTCTGTGATGGCAACTGTCATAGTTTTCCTGATGTGCAATAGTTTCCACTTCCTCCTGTTTGTTGCCCATGCTGTGTGCATTGGTGTAAATGCACTTTAGTTGGGCTAATAACCCTACTGCCTTTTTTCGGGGAGAAGCTCTTATTCATGTGACCATTCTCAGGTACTTCTGGGATTTCTAACACATCATTAACCCTTGCATCCTTACATTTGCATGGATCTCCATCCCCTACCTCCACTGATATGGCAGACTGAAGGACCTTGGTAGCACACTGTCCCTCAAACATTTGCATGGTACTCCCAGGCTTATCTCTGTTGATCCTGGTTTTGTCCACATCCCCCTTCAAATGTAGTTTAAAGCTGTCTCAATGAGCCCTGCTAACTCCTGAACTAAAATCCTTTTTTTCCCCCTTTGAGATGGATGGACCCCATCTGTTGCCAGCAGGCTCAGTGTCACATAAACTGACCCATGATCAGAACCCCCAAAATTCTCATGGTAACACCAGTCTCAAAGCCAGGTGTTCATCTGCATGATTTTCCTGTTTATTGCCCCATCATTCCCTGCAGGGAACTGTCAGGACAGAAGAGAAAACAACTTGTGCTCCAGATCCCTCAACCAGTTGTCCCAAGGCCCTGAGGTCCCTTTGGTTGTCTGCAGCTTTCTTGATGGTACTTTGTCACTGCCCACCTGAAAAAGCAGTAGCAGGTAATAGTGGGACATACCAGACTGGGAAGTATCTTGGTGATGTCCCTTACCCAGGCCCCAGGAAGGCAGCATACTTCCCTGTGGGTTGGGTCCAGTTGGCATATTGGGCCCTTTGTTCCTTTCAAAAGAGAGTCACCAATGACTGCTACTTCTTTACTGCTATAACCCTTCTTTTTTTCTTAACTGAGGAGGTCAGGATGCACTGGGTAGGCTGCCCTGCCGTCGGCAACCCCTCTAGCCTGGATGGACTTTAATCCACATTCTCATTTCCCTGGTCCTCAGATTCCAGGATTCAAACCTATTGTATAAGTGCATCTGGGAAGGTGAAATAGGTCAGGAGGGGATTTGCCTGCCACCTGAGTAGAAACCCATTTCTACACCCCTCCATCTCTACAGTCACCTCCTTCTTCCTGGTGGGGAGAGGGTAGGATATCTATTGCTTCTTGTGAAGTAGATGGTAGGTCATTTGTCTAAGGCATGGTAGAGTCCCGCTCCACTGGTCAATCTCCTCAGAGTCCCTGACGCTTCTTAGCCTTTCTACTTCTCTCAGCTCTGACACTGGGCTGAGCAGATTGTTGACCTGATTGCACCTCACACAGCTGTTTTCTCTGTTGCCCTGTGTCCTGGTTTAGGGCAAATTTGGGAGAAAACTTGCAAAAGGGGCCCCCCCAGAAAGCAAACCCACACAGCCCCTCCCCCCCCAAAAAGGTTTGGGAAGAATTTCCTCTGAGACAAGTGGGAAAAAACTGTTTATTTAACAGGCAAAGCACTCCCCAGCACAAAAAATGAACAATACCAGATGACAAAACTCATTCACTGCTCTGAAGAGATGACAAATTCAGAAAGTCTCTCCTGTGGGTGGTTGCTCTGTTATCAGTCCCTCCGGCACTGGGAAAGGCTGCTGCCCAGAGTAGGCCCCGGTAGGCTACAAAGTGCAAGCTCTCGGTATTTCCCCGGGTCCTAGTCTGGAGCAGGTTCGAACGGTTCCAAAATAAAAAGGGAAAGAAAAACAGTCCAGGGAACTTCTCTGCCTCAGCTAGCTAAACTAACTAAAAAACAATGGAGCGTTGTGTTCTGCCCCATCTGTGCCCAGATACCACAGTAGAGGAGTGAGAGCAGGCTGATAACAAAACTCCGTGCTTCTTCTTCTCCCTGCCTTCGCTCTCAGAGCCAGTCTTGAAGGCACAGAATATAATATCCAGCATAAACAGAACACCCGGTTGGGGATACAAGCATCATAATGTCACCCTAGGACACCCTCTGAGAGCAGTGCCAGCCTCTGGCACTCCTTACAGACTAAGACCTGGATGGCTGTATGTTTTTGTGAACACTCCATCTGGGTTGCCACATCCTTTCTGGTGCACACAGAGGAAACAGATTCTGTCTAAGTCGAAACCATATCTGTGCTCCCTTGGCGAGGGTGATGGCCATCAACTCAGCTAACTACTCCTGCTGCAGAGCCTCAGTGCTCTCCCTGCACACCCTTCCTCATGGAAACCTTCGATGCAAACTGCCGCACCATGCCACACGTTGTTTGTGGGGGTTTTTTTCCACAGAAGATGGAAAAATCCCCCTTGGCTTTTTTTTTTTTTTTTGTTCAAGTCTATTGACAGATGGATGCTGTAATGCAGACAAGAATGTTTAACTTCCATGCCTTGCATCTCTCACAGTAACCATCTGTGTAAGCATAAAAGTGGTACAGACTAAGCTAAAAACTATTATAGAAACTTTCAGAGGAAATATGGGGTTTTGTCCCTGAAATACAATAAATTTTTTGAAACAGGAATAGCTGCTTTGTGACTTGGGGAGGATGAGAATCCTATGCTTTCATGCTCTCTCTACTGATGTTTTCATTATAATTTTCAAATGTAGTATGGGAGTTCTAAAAATTAGTTTATAATATGGAGTGCATCTAGTATAACATAATATGAAGAGAGTTCCCCTTGAACATGAAAGAAAAAATATTTTGTTTCACTTCATTGTTTATTTTAACCAAGTCTCAAATCAGACTATATTTTCTGATTTGTTTTTCAGAGTGATATAACTGAAAGTGCTTCTCCTATATTTGAGGAAGAACGAATTGATGATTGGACGGTATATTAATAAGTAGCTGTTGTATTACGAGAATAAGAGCATATCTGGGGAGTTGGGAAGAACTGGATTTTGACCCTAGTCTAGCAGCTCTGCTGCTCACTTAAACACAGATGAATGAAGACCCCATTTGGAAAATCACCAGGTCAGCGGTCCAGAGCTGATGCAGGTGAGGTGTTACTGAATTTGAGTGTTGTTGTTTTTTAGTGGGTAAAAAGGTGTCCTTACAGATTTTTCTTACATACTCGTGGTTTTATGAAACTGTTACTGCTTGGTTTTGATTGGGACATTTGATGGTTGTTGGGTTTTTTTTTAAGATAAGAATTATTGGAATTGTGGGATTGAAAGGACATACATAAATTTAAGCTGTACTGAATTACATTTATGCAGTTGTACTGGTTTTGGCTGGGATTGAGTTAAATTTCTTTGCAGTAACTGGCCTGGTGCTATGTTGTTGCGACGAACTCTCCGTGTGTGGAGACACGAGGCTTGACTCCATTTCAGAAAGCTGATTTATTATGTTAAATATTATATTAAAATACTACATTAAGACTATACTAAAAGAACAGAGAGATCAGAAGGCTACAACAAGAACAGAACAGAATAGAATAACAAAATCCTGTGACTGCTCACAGCCTTGGCACAGGTGGCTGTGATTGGTCATCAATAGAAAACAATTCACATGGACCAATCACGGATGCACCTGTTGCATTCCACAGCAGCAGATAGTAATTGTTTACCTTTCTCTCCTGAGGCTCCTCAGCTTCTCAGGAGAGCAAAAATCTCAACAAAGGATTTTTCATAATATCATGGCTACACTATGTTTTGGATTTCTGCTGAAAAGTGTTGATAACACTGATGTTACTGCTGAATGGTGCTTATGCAGTGTCAAGGCCTTCTCTCTTTCTCATGTTGCAAGAGAAAGACAAACATAGGTGGTGATGGAATTATTTGCTGGATGTTTCCTAATTTCAGGTGTAGATTAGTAAAGTGTACCAGGTAGTCATTATTAGGAGACTTCAAAACCAACCTGCCTTAGTTTAAGACAATTTTATGGGGTGCAGACTTTGAAATGTTATCTCCCTTTAGTTTTAACCACTCCCCTTTCAACAATAAGAAGTGACAAATATGAAGAGATAAGTGAAAAAATAACAGTTTATTAAAAGAAAAATGGCAATAAACAAGAAAACAACAATAACCACTAGATACAAAGGTGCTGAGTTACATGGCCCTCTCCCCGAGAAAAAAGAAAACAATATGGCTACCACCTGGACAGCCTAATGGCCCAGAGGACAAAGACAAGATGGTGGAGAAGCTCCCATTTCCCAAGATGGTAGCCACCATGGCAGCCCATGTGGCCCAGAGGACAAAGACAAGATGGCAGAGAAGCCCTCTTCTCCAGACCGTGCAGCCAAGAGAGAGAACAAAGGAAAACAAAACAGCAACCAAGCCTCTGCAGTTCCAGAACTCCCACCCCCGCCCCCAAACAACAACATGAGCAGGGAAAAAGAAAACCTGGAAAAACCTATTTTTGACCAAAAGGCTCCAATTCTGCCGAAACACTGGAAGAAACTTCCTAGCAGTTGCAGACTCAACTCCCGCTCAGTAGCTTGAAACTCATGCAGAGTGGCTCTAATGCTGCTGAAATGCTGATTCCTGTGAGGCAGCAGGAGGCAGGGACTCTCTTGCTCTTTTCTTGCTGAAAGACCTTGCAATGTGATATAAATTAAAATTATAGCAAGTTTGTTGTATTTTATTAAAATAATTTTTTTTAAAAACAGCTGGCAGGAAAAAAGCTATCAAAAGCACAACTAGGCTAAGTGACAAGAAGCTGGAATTAGAAATCCAAATCAGTAGTAAAGACTTAGAAGTGGTGGCTTCTTTGATAAAGCTAGTTTTCCTCTGTCCTGCCTGTCTGCCTACAAAGGTGCAAGGAGCACAGTTGCCTGTCTCAAACACTGTCAAGGTGTCCTGGTTCCAGCCAGGACAGAGTTAATTTTTTTCAGTAGCCAGGAGGGGGCATGACTGGGGTATGGAGGTTATTCTATATCACCTCATGTCATTGCTGGGAGCAGGGGAAAGGGCTCTTTTATGGGGAGAAGGGGCTCCTTTTGGAAGAGAAAATATGGCAGAGGGAGCCTTCTGGTATTGTCTGTTATCGTGGAGTTTTTCCATGTGAATAATTTCTTTTCTTGTACACTCTGTTATTAATATTGTTGCTGTTACTGTTCATTTTCTTATCTTATTGCTGTTTCCAGTAAATTGTTCTTATCTCAACCTGTGATCTTTGCCTTTTGTGCCTCCAGCTCTCCTCTCCAGCCATCCACTGTGGGGAGGAGGAGGTGAAAACAGGGGAGCAAGAGAGAACAGTGTGTGGTTTGGAGAGTTGGTGGGGGCACTGAATGAGGTTATTCTATATCACCTCATGTCATTGCTGGGAGCAGGGGAAAGGGCTCTTTTATGGGGAGAAGGGGCTCCTTTTGGAAGAGAAAATATGGCAGAGGGAGCCTTCTGGTATTGTCTGTTATCGTGGAGTTTTTCCATGTGAATAATTTCTTTTCTTGTACACTCTGTTATTAATATTGTTGCTGTTACTGTTCATTTTCTTATCTTATTGCTGTTTCCAGTAAATTGTTCTTATCTCAACCTGTGATCTTTGCCTTTTGTGCCTCCAGCTCTCCTCTCCAGCCATCCACTGTGGGGAGGAGGAGGTGAAAACAGGGGAGCAAGAGAGAACAGTGTGTGGTTTGGAGAGTTGGTGGGGGCACTGAATTGGGGAGCACCATTCCTAAACCACGACACAAGGCCACAGAAGGAACTTGCCATAAGATAAGCCACCACAGTGGGAACTTGACTTAAGCACAAAAGGGAGGAATTTGCAACAGGAAGGCACTAATTCCAGGCCTGGTAAGGCAAGATCTGGTTAGCACATCCTGGTTAATGCATCCGGACAATAATTCCCACTATGGAAAAGGGAGCAACTGCTCATACACATATCACCCCAAGTTATGGGAACAGCATCTGTGACCACTCTGTGATACTTGGAACTTGGACTGTATAAAGGTGGTACCCTCAGAAGAATGATTCCAGGACCCCCACCACTGAGAAGCCTGGGGTGAAGAAGGACCAATGGGATGCTGCTGTATTCATGGGTGGTGACTGTCTTCTGCTTGATTTCTCTCTCTCACTCTCTCTCCACCCTTTACTCTTTTCTATTTCTTTCTATCTCTCTACCTCACATTTATTGTAAAATGAAATCCGTATTGCATATGTTCTCATTTGCTACTCGGTCAGAAGCATCTCTCACTAATCAGATCTTACCAAAACAAAAGGCCTTTATTTGCTCTAAAGTAGGTTTAAAAGAGGACAAAAATATATTTGACTGAAGTATCCAGGTTTTTGAAGCTTACCTCTACTGGGAAACAGAATTAATAGTTCCATCTTGAGAAATAAAGGATAACACCCCAAATGGAGAAACAAAGGAAAGCCAAACTTGTTTCTTATTTTTTCACAACAGTAGAGCATGTGTCTACAGTCTCAGTAATTTTGTTTGTTAAAATATACAGCAGACTCCCAGAATATAGTTTCAGTAGATCAGTCAGCTCCTTAGTGCTTAGCCTTGTATTTGTGCTTCTAATTAGAACATGTTTCTCCTCAATATAGGTTAATCCTGATTTATTTTTATTATCATAATCCAGTTGAATTGTCTGTGAGGTAAATTGTGATTACCCTGGTGTCCTGGTTATTGGTATTGTCTTTGTTGTTCGTTTTTCTTATTTCATTGCAGTTTACAGGAAATTGTTCTTATCTCAAGCCATAATCTTTACCATTTTGTGCCTCCCGTTCTCTTCTCCATCCCACCATGGGGGGGTGGGGGGAGGGAAGTGGGCCAGTAGCACATGGTCTGGAGTGTTTTCGGTGGGAACACTAAATTGGGGAATACCATTCCTAAACCATGACACCTTGTGTTTACATTTATATTTCAACTTTTTGAGCCTAGTGATCACTTGTTTTATGCTGTACAAATGTAATGCATCGTCCTTTACAGTCCTTCCTAGCTGTTACCAGTACTGTCCTTGGCAATTATGAAGAGATTCCACTCCCAGATTCAACTACTTTAAGATGCAATGAAATCTTTTGGGAGAGTCAGGAATTCATTTGACCACTCTTCTCCTGGTCCTGTTTCCCAAACTCTTAGAGTTGACTTCGGGCAGGATATATTAGGTGTAAATAAACACATCTCTGAAATTTTCAGGTCATTCAAAGTAATTCTGAAAGACATCAAATCAAGATTAATTCCCATGTGATTGCATGGTGTTTCTACAGCAGATACTGAAATATAATTTTTAAATGTCCCGCTTTTGCTGCCTGCCATAAAGATGGGATATTCTGAGAAATAAGCAGATGTGGTTTGTTTTGAAGAGTCCATCTAATTTTGATAGACTGAATGGAGAGTACCATCTGATATGATGACAATTAAAAACATTGCTAGTAGCTTTCTCACATCCCTCTTCCTTTTCTTTCCTCCTACCTGCCCCAGTTGAAATATGTGTACTTTCTCTACAATCCACACCCTCAAAGAATGTTTATTTTATTTCTGTGTTGTCTTACCCTTTTTCTTTCTCTGTAAGGTAGAAGCATTCAGAAACATGGCTCCTAGTTTTGCTATTGAATTTAACAGTATTTTAAGGATACATTAGGTAGAATTAATCCAGGCTCAAAAAGCAAAGGCCAACTGGCAATTAAATGCTTAAGTCTTTTGTTCTTGACTTTTTATTATTGAAAATATTTAGGTTTTTAGTCATGAAAGATTGAGCCATATATATTTTCTTCTTCCTCAGATCTATCCAAGTTTGACTCTGCTGCTTATTATAAAGAAGCATAAAACAAATCACTTTGTGTGTTTGTTTTTTGGGTTTTTTCCTTTCTGATCTTCAGTATTAACTTCTGTTTTTATATTCATGGCAAATTATATCAACACTGTTTATTTTGAATGATGTCTAAAACATGGAATTTAATGGAATGTTCAAGTTGAAACAGTAGCACTTGTCATTCCATAGTCAGGACGAGGTAAAGGACATGAACTTAAATCCCTTCAATGACATTCATGGTATATAGAATCTGATAACTATCCATTATTGTTTTCTAATTACTGTTAACATCTTTGAAGTCACATTATTGCTTGAGACCAAACCAAGCTTGACCCCAAAATACTTGACACACTAATTTTTCACTTGAAATATTTATCTGAATGTATCGCTGTACTGGGTTTTCATGGCAAGGTTTTGGTAGCAGGGAGCTACAGGGGTGGCTTCTGTGAGATGCTGCTGGAAGCTTCACCTTATGTCTGGCAGAGCCAATGCCAGGCGGCTCCAAGACAGACCCAACACTGGCCAATGTTGAGCCAATCAGCAATGGTAGCAATGCATCTGGAGTAATATATTTAAGAAGGGAAAAAAAAGTTATTGCACAGAAGTAATTGTGGTCAGAGAAGAGAGGAGAATATGGGAGAGGAACAACTCTGCAGACACCAAGGTCAATGCAGAAGGAGGAGGAGGATGTGCTCCAGGTGCCAGAGCTGAGATTCCTCAGCATCCTATGGTGAAGACCATAGTGATGTCAGACTGTCCCCCTGCAGCCCATGGAGGCCCCAGGGGGTGCAGAGATCCACCTGCAGCCCATGGAGGAGACCCACTGCCTGAAAGAAGGCTGTGAACCTGTGGGAAGCCTGTGCTGGAGCAGCCTGTTCCTGAAGGACTGCACCCCATGGAAGGGACCCATGCTGGAGCAGTTAATGAAGAACTGCAACCTGTGGGAGGGACTCATGTTGGAGAAGTTTGTGGAGGACTGGCTCCTGTGGGAGGGACCCCACAGTGAAGAAGGGGAAGGACCCCTCTCCCTGAGGGGGAAGCAGCAGAAACAACATGTGATGAACTGACCCTCACCCGCAATCCCTCTCTCCCTGAACCACTGGGGGGAAGGAGGTAGAGAATCAGGAATAAAGTTAAGCCTTGGAAGGAGGGAGGAGTGGGGGGAAAATGTTTTTAAGATTTGTTTTTACTTCTCATTATCTTTCTCTGATTTGATTGGTAATAAATGCAATTGATATCCCCAAGTTGAGTCTTTTTTGCCTGTGATGGCAATCAGTAAATGATCTCTCCCTGTTCTTATCTCAACTTACGAACCTTTCATTGTATTTTCTCTCCTCTGTCCAACTGAGGAGAGAAGTGAGAAAGTGGCTTTGGTGGGCACCTGACATTCAGCCAAGGTCAAACCACCACAATTACCCTTGAAATTGTTGGCAAATTTTTAAATGTCTTCCTTTGAATTGGACACTTGACAGTGAATGACTAATGCCAATTATGCTTCCGTCAGAAGTCATTTAGGTGATACTAGACATTTCAGGATGATTTGTGTAAACAAAGTTTCTGCTTTGCTTGTTATGTTTGGCGTTCTCTGCTAAAGGTGACTATCAACACCATCAGCTAATCGTGCCTGATGCATTTGGTGGCCTTCGAGGACAGGATTACAGAGGTGGTGAATGAGGGAAGAGTGACTGGCATCACCTACCTGGACTTCTGCAAAGCATTTCACATCCTGGTCTCTAAACTGGAGAGATGTGGATTTGATGGGTGGACCAGTCAGTGGATAAGGAATTGGCTGGATGGTCACTCTCAGACTTGTGGTCAACAGCTCAATGTCCAAGTGGAGATTAATGACAAGTGGTGTTCTTCAGGGGTCAGTATTGGGACCGGCATTGTTTTTTACCATCTTTTTCAGTGACATGGACAGTGGGATCGAGTCTACCCTCAGCAAGTTTACCAACAACATCAAGCTGTTTGCTGTGGTCAACACACTGGAGTGAAGGGATGCCATCCAGAGGGACCTTGACAGGTTTGAGAGGTGGATCTCTGCGAACCTCATGATGTTCAAAAAAACCATGTGCAAGGTCCCGCACCTGAGTTGGGGCAATCCCTAGCACAAATACTTGCTAGATGGAAAATGGATTGAGAGCAGCCCTGAGGAGAAGGATATGGAGGTGTTAATGGATAAGGAGCTTGACATGAGCCATCAATGTTTGCTTCCAGCCCAGAAAGCCAATTGTATCCTAGGCTGCATCAAAAGAAGTGTAGCCTGTAAGTTGAAGGAGGTGATTATCCCCCTCTACTCCATTCTGGTGAGACCCTACCTGGAGTACTACTTTCAGATCTTGGACCCTGAACATAAGAAGGACATGGATCAACTAGAGCAAGTCCAGAGGAGGGCCACAAAGGTGATCATAGGGATGGAACATCTCTCCTAGGACAACAGGCTGAGAGAGTTGGGGTTGTTCAACATGGAGAAGAGAAGGCTTCAGGGAGACCTTATAGCATTCTTCCAGTACCTAAAGAGGGCCTACAAGCAAGCCAGAGAGGGACTTTTCACAAGAGCATGGAGTGATAGGACAAGGGGGAATGGCTTTAAACTGAAAGGAGGTAGGTTTAGATTGGATATTAGAAAGAAATTCTTTACTTTGAGAGTGGTGAGACACCAGAGCAGGTTGCCCAGAGAAGTTGTGGATGCCCCATCCCTGGAAGTGTTCAAGGCCAGGTTGGATGTGAAGGTGTCTCTGCTCATGGCAGGGGGGTTGGAACTAGATGATCTTAAAGGTTCCTTCCAACCCAAATCATTCTATGATTTTAATGTATATGTTAAACATTAATGTATTAAAATATTTTTATTTGCTCTCAAATGTTTTAAGTCATTAAGACATAGTAATACTTACAACATCATGTATTTACTAATAAATATTTTTGTAAAGAAACTGTACAAGCTATTTGGAATTTTATAAGTCTTCTGCACAGTTGATTTGTTGCCTTAGTGTAAGATAAGGTTTATGTCTACCTTATTCTGTGAGAATTTATTTCTCCCTTTAATACCTGGGGGGGGGGGGGGGGGGGAAAAAAAAAAAA